GCCTTCAATCTGGAGTTATTTTCATCATATCTAATGATTTTGTGCATGCTACTCGCATACTCTCAGGATCTCCCGCAATCACTCTCTGTGTTGTCATTGTCATCTAAGATTTCCAACATGCCTTCAATCTGGAGCTCCTTTCCTCATATTTAATGATTATGTGCGTGCTACTCGCGTACTCTCCTCCAACATGGCCGTGTATTTTCCTTCATTTCCAGGTAAGTACTTTTTCTTTATTGGTTCGTTTCCACTGCTTTAGATCTTTCATCTTCTATCTGTTTCGTATGTTTGGAAATGTGAGCGAAACTGTTACATCGTTATGTCTGCAGAAATTCCGTGATATTCCGGAGTACTTAATCGTGTATGTTTCTTTTTCGTCCCTGAGAATTTATTTCCATTCCGTGCAAAATTATATTTTTGATTTTTTATTTTTCGATTTGGGATTTTAGCTTTACATTCCGAGTCGTGTGAATTTCTTGACGTATTTTATTTCGGGCTTTCAGTTTTATATCCGTCGATTTGGTGCTTCTTGCTTTTCCAGGTACTCCTGGAATTTATTTCGAACGTCCTCGTCCCTGCAGTTTCGAATGAACGCAAGTATCGCGGTGCGGGTTATCCTCCATGGGTAATCCATGAGTCGGAGTTTCCATCCGAACAGGTCAATCACGGGCGATAGATCCGCCATCTCGTATGTGTTAGTTACCATTCGATGAAAAGTTCCGATAATCGTCAAGGTCTTGGTTCTCTCAGAACCGGCACTCCTGAAGTGACGCAACGTCCTCTGAGAGAGAGAGAGAGAGAGAGAGAGAGAGAGAAAGGTTGAATGGCAAAATTGAAATATGGGTCAAATTGCAGCCGGAATCTATTTCGCAGTTGGAATTATTTTTTTTTATTTATGTTGCGTTTGTCCTGGAAAGATCACAACAAAATTTACGGGTACTCCAATTTTCAAGTTTTTTCACGCATTCTTCTGAGCGTGAAAACTCACTGAATTTGGAGTACTTTTTTAGTTGGCCCAGGCATGGCTGAGTGGCAAAAATGGAAAATAAGCTGAATCGGCGCGACGATTATTTCGCAGTCTAAATGATTTTTTGTAAATGTTCTATTATTATTTCTGGAAAGAACACGACCTCATCTATGGATTTTCAAAATTTCAGATTTTTGTGCATGTTCATCTGAGCACAGAAAATCGCCAAAGTTGCCTCTTGCAAAACGCCTGTTTCGTTGTGCCTGACCTCCCTGTTTTGAAAAGACGGGGCTCAACGACTGGGCCTGAGGGCCCTTTTGCAGATCACATGCCCTCACTTTTTTTTGGGGTCCGCTTCTACCCGAGCACCGGTCCTTCGTTTTTCCAAAAGTCCCGGTTCTACCAGAGCTAGCTGTAGGTAGTCCGCAATTTTGCCAAGGACCGGTCCCCCAAATTTTTTTTCCCCCGAAAAGCCCACTTGCGTCCTGGTCGCCCGCTGCCAAAAATGTGACACCTTGACACAGACGCCGAAGCCCAATATACCGCAGCCTAAGGGCTGCGAACTTCCTTCAAGGCTCTGAATCTGGGCTACCAGCTGGGGCGCCCGGGTCACCCTAATTTCCCGGGCGGCCCGGCCGTGCAAGGACCAGGGAAGGTCCCAGCCAAAAAACAAACAAACAAATCCAAAAAATCAAAAAAAAAACTATGTTATGCATAAAAATACACTGAACAACTTTTGCCTCAGGGTCACATCGAAATTTTTTACCAAATTTAAAATACAATTTTAAATTAAAAATATATATATATATCGTCAAATAGAACTGCCCGGTAAAAATATATATCATCACAATTTTTAATCTCTTTTTGGCCCGACCAGGCAAGTGGACCCAGGCCACTCTGGTAGCCTAGCTCTGAATAGCTATTCCAAACCCTCTTCTTTCTCATTTCCAGGATTCCCTTCTCTTTTCTATTTATTACAATGGCGTGAGATATCACGTTTGAACTGATAGGCCGCAGGTAAATTCAGAGTTATCTTTTATTCGCCTGACTCCATCCGGGGAAAAAAACAATAAAAATAAAAATAAAAAAGAAGGAAAAAACAATTTGAACTCAGGTCAGTTCATGGGTGTACCAACTGCGCTAGGCCAGTCGGTAAACTACTACAGACCGTCATTCCACCACACAAGGATAAAAAGCTAGCAAACCATAACCGTCAAGAATTCATCATTTGACAAGGCCATAAGATTTGAAGGCCTGATAAAAGGTCAAATCCAGGACAACCAAACACATGTCCATTTCAAGATAGTTTCCCATCCCCTGATTGCTTGCCAATTAACTTCCACAACATCTGACAGCATGTGGGTAAAAAAAAATAAAATAAAAAAAGAAAAAGAAGAAAAGAAAAACAGCATCAGAGAGTCAACAGGCGGCTCACTGTTCGTCAACCACACGATCAGTTGGTTACTCAGTCAGCTGACCAGCAAACAGTCAGTCACCCATACTAAAAGTAGCTAAACCAAATCAATCGAGCGATTCACCTGATTATTACTAAAAGGTCTCCGGCCGCCTCCCTCTGCGTCACCCTATAAGGTGTGTGCGTCTCGCCTTGGGCATACCTTACACATCCTCCCCACGCTCATGCCGTGCGCCAGGACTGATCTTGCCCTGCCAATCCAAAGTTGAAAAGACGAACTGCTCTTTCTGTAGACCTGGCCTCTCCACTTCTCTCCCTTGTGCCTAACTCAAAGCATACTCACACCAGCACTTTCCTTAAGTGTATCTATCTTCTCCGCGATTACGGCCCAACTGGATGCATCTGACTGCAATCACATCCACAAATTAGTATATAAAAAAAAAGAAGTCCTTGTGTAAGTATGCCCTCAGAAAGTGAGGGGATGTGAGACATGTACTGGGCATGCACATACATTTACATCAGGTAATTCCAACCCCCCATGTCTGTCGATATCTCACACAGGTCCTTTCAAGCCGTTGCCATCCACTTGCCAGCGCGAAGCTTGCTCAAGTTTTGACATCAAATCTACCTTCCCTCTTTACACACACACACACACACACACAGCATTTGAAACAGAACGTGGGTGGTTAATGCAAGTAGATGATTTAAGATCCGGGTAATCTCACAAAATAACACTCGTACATTTTGAGCTCGTAATGGTAGCACAGGTTGTCCTAGACTTGTCTTTTTGCTTGTGAAAAGGGGTAGCAAAGGTTGTCCCGGACTCGTCTTTTGGCTTGAAACTCAGCTGCATTCCCTCCATGCTATCGTCTTCGCTAAATTAAACTCTGACACGCTGGACAAGCAAGAGACTGAGTCGGTAAACGACACAGCTTCGCACCACCCTCTCACTCAAGACTCGAGACTCAAGAATATATTCTAAACCTCGTCTTCGTTGAGGAGCATGTTCGGTATTCCTTTGCTGACGGGAAACCGCCTCCCCGTCTCAGGACAAACAAGAGCACCTTCCTCCAGATTCACCTGCATTCAACAGCCACAAACAACAGAGCATTAAGCAAAGAAACATGGGCATTTCTCCTGCTGTATCAGTTAGCTGCACACAATGGAAGGGCCACCAGAATCCCCTCTCGATCGAGCACCATCACCATACTCGCATTACGATCATCATCGTCACCATCACCCCGAACTAACCATGTCAAGGATCCGCATCTCCATGCTGGAAACACCGACGACGACTACCAACAAAAATGGTCAGCGTTACAAAAAAGAAAGGCCAGCATTGGATGAGGTTCGCACAGACCACCTGCAACAAGCAGGACAACCAACTACATACATGACTGCAGATCCTGAAACCGACGATCGGATGGACTGAAGGACCACCTGCACTTGCCTAACGTTTCGAGAGAGATTACACAAAAGATCTGTACTTTATAACCCCAGATATCAGAGTTTCACAGGAAACTGAAAAACGAATCAAACTGCAGATGAACTCAGGTCATTCATCTTCTAAGTCCTTTTCTTTCTCATGAAACCCACGAGGCTTCTGAGAGAATAAAAAAACCCAGGAGGCTTCTGAGAGAATCAACCAAACCCAGGAGGCTTCTGAAAGAACTAACCAGCCCCCACACAGATATCAGAGTGTCCACCATCCTCAGTGGAGGAATACCTTCTTCACCCGAATACAACGCCCGGTCATTGTAGCCGTATTTGGTGAAACTTTCAATCCAGCTACAGGTGAAGATGGTAAATGTAGGAGGGTAGCGTGCCATTCATTGTGCCGATCAGGCAAGGCTACAGTGACTTTCTTTTTTTTTTTTTTTTTTTTTTCTTTCTATTTTTTCTTTTCTTGCTGCTGATTGAACAGCCAATCCTGCACACCTCAACAACTCCACAAATTCATCACTGGAATGAGAGCCAAAGCCCTGTAGAATCCAGAAAAAGGGGTCAAAAAGTGTTATTTTTCCCCTTCCGAAAGAAGGGATGCAGTGACTTCCAACTATAGAAGTGGTGCTAAAAAACAAAGACAGTCCTTCGAAAATTGGAACGATTAGCATGGCCCTGTCTCTTATACACATCTAGATGTGTATAAGAGACAGGAACAGAACATGGGGCATGGCACGAAGAAGGGAA